ACACACCAAATTGGTTTCTTTAATCTGCTTTTTGTCACAGTCTAATCAGCGAGCAGAAGTGAATTCCCGCCAGTCTCACACGGCAGACCCTCCTGATTGGCTACAGGGACATTTCACAAAAACTAGAGAGAGCTTCTGGAGCAGCTTCTTGGGGCCTTCTCCCTCGAGTATTCCCAGGTAACAAGAGAGTGCCTTAGGAGCACAGCCTGAACCTGCTAGCCCAAGTCCTTGGCGTCCGTTTATACTTTCCCCCCTACCATACATTGGCTTTTTTCCAGCTAGCAGAGAAAGGGATCTCAAGAGATGCAAACCAATCTTTTCCCAAGTGGTCGAAGGGGCAGGAAATAAGGTTGGGTAAAGATGGCTCCCGTGGCATCTGCTGATTCGGCCGGTGTGTTCTTACATCCTGTGGATTACAGATCCAAGGGGAGGCTTCCTCGCGCAACTGAGATTGGGCCTCCAATTCTGCCCTTGAATCAGGCTGGCCACATATCAGAGGGAATCTGCCTCCCGTTGTGGTGATGGAAAAAAGTCTGTATCTCATAACTGGGATGGCAGCACGGGGAGGGCGCAGAGCGGGGTGAAGGGCAGACCTGGTCCCCTCTGGAGCGGAGAGGCTCCTTTCGCCTCGTTCCGCTCTCCAGACGAGTCGTCCTCCTCCTGGCTGCCACCTGACCCCATTGCCCAAAGGGACGCCTCTGGCAATCTGGGACAGAGACGCCGGGCCCTCGCCCTCAGCTCCTAGGCAGGTGATGGACACCAAGGAGTCACGTGAGCATCACGCTGGTATTCTGCACCCAGAGCCAAGGGACCCTCCAGTGGGTGGGGAGGTGGGGCTTGAGCATGCTTTAGTAGACCCACTTGTGAACATTCATGACCATCCAAAGCTGCCTGCCAGAGGGATCTACCTGGGTGAGGACCGGAAGGCTGACGAGGTTGTGGCAAAGGTGGCAGTTTGCACGTGTGTAAGAATTTTCCACTGACATCAGTCCTAGAGTGTGCAAGTTTCTTCAATTTGTGGTGTCCAGTCCTGTACAAACAAGCAGAAGTTGCTTTGATGTCTGGTCCATTTTGTTGTACTTGAAATAAAACACATTTGCCCTGTTGTAAATAGCATGTTGAATTACTAGTTTTGCTAAGAAATAAAAGCAACTATTTTATTATGAGTTACTCTCATTATTTGCAAATTGGTGGGCTACAGGCCGGATGGGCCTCTGCCCCCCAATACAAGATCTGGGAAACTTAAAATCCTCACTAGAACTGGCCCAGGGAAGTGCCGCGACACGGTACTTTCCCCAAGTAGCTCCTGAGTGTCTGCAGAGTGACAAGTGCCAGCCCACTCTCACCTGGCCGACGGACCCTCAAATCCAAGCAGGGAAGAGAAACTGGCCTCAGGCACTCAGGGGCCCCAGGAGACCTTCCAGAGAAAGACACACCCCCCCCCCCGTGCTCTCCAAGCGGTTCCTGGAACCAGCACCAACCATGAAGCCTTGCTTGCCACATCGGGAAGGCGAGAGAGACCAGCAGCTGACCTGGGGGGGGGTGCTTCCAGTTTGCCCAGGATCTCACTTGAGAATGGAGGCAGCTCTGCTAGGAAGAGCCGGAAGCCAGGAAGAAAGCACCCCGCCCACCTTGGTGATGGGTACAGTGGGGAGCGGAGAGACCCCAGCATAGGGACGGGTGCTGGGGGAAGTCTCCAGAGGGACCCTACTGGAAGGCCCACAAAAAAGGGATGGGCAGAGGTGGCCGAGTGACCGCTCATGGGCTCCCCCTCAGCAGCTGCCAACAGCCCCCCTCCAAATGGCCGGAGGAAGGTTGGCAGCCAAGAGGCCGATTCAGCTGCCTCCGGCCCTCTCAGCAGGGACGCCTTCCAGGCCGGCTTTTGGACCGCTGGGTGGCTCTTGCACAGGCTTCTAGGTGCCCCCCCCAGGCCTGGTACAGAGGCTGCATTCTGCCCCCCCCCGTGTAAAACAAGTTGCTGAAGCCACGGAGCCGTGGGCAGCGCTTGCCTGACAGAGCAGCATTCCTGGAGGTCTGGCCAGCTCTGGCCCTTCAGCCGTCCTGAAGGTTAGGCTAGCCTGACTGCAGACGTGCGTTTTTGTGATCAGGATGGAGACAGAGGTGGAGATATACACAAGTTGCCTTTTTTTTTTCTTAAAAAAACAACAACCTATGGGGTTTAATCTTCATATCCTGCCAAGTCAGCTGTGAGATGGGCACCATGCAAGTTGGAGAGAGATGACGTTCCATCAATGAACTCTGAAATACTCTAGTAGTAACTGCCTCGTCTGTTTTCCTGCCTGTTTCTCAGCTACGCTGGGAAGTAACCGTCGCATTGAGCCCCAAGATGGTGGCTTTCAGCACTACACGGAGCCCATCAAGGCGAGGGAGGGCAAGGGGGACCAGAGGACCCGGCTGAGGGAAGTCCTCTCCTCAGGGCAACCCAGCCCTCCAAGCCCTCCCCCTGGCGGCTGGAAGCGGGAGCCCCCCAGGCAGGGACCTGCAGAGCTGCCCCCCCCCTTCTCCGTCTGCCTCTGGGCTGGCCGAGAGGAAGGAGAAGCGCCCTGGGCCACCTGGGCACAGAGGAAGGGGCTCCCACTGCTCAGGGGCAGCTTCTCCCGGTTGGCGTCACTGAGCAGCTCCGGCATCCAGCCCGAAGCCTCGCCACTCTCCCTGCACCTCCGGCCTTCCGCTCTGTCACCCGCCTTGCCCGCACCAGCCCTCCAGCCCTCCAAGTGCCCCCATGCCAGGCAAGATGCTGTGTGGCTGGAGGAATCAAGGGGTGCCGCCGCCCCCCAAGGCTTACTTGGCTCGGCCCTCCCCGCCCTGCTTAGAAGGTCTCCAGGGCCAGCAGCAGGTGCGCCCTAGCCGACCCTCGCACCCCCACTGGCAAAGCCGTAGCTGGGACCCCTGGCCCGGGAGGGGCCCACACTGGCAAGAACTGAGCGCGTGCAGCACCTGCAGCTTTGAGGTCGGCTGCCACTGCTGGGATCCTGCTAGGCATAAAAACACCACCAGGCAGACTCTTCCAGACACATTTTATTCCAGAAAACCCAGGAAGACCTTCCCTGCCCCCCATCCCGTGGGTCAGAGAGAAGCGCTGGCAGGGGCGGAGTGCAGAGAAACACACACACACACACACCTCCAGCACCCGGAGGGCAGCCTTCGGGGGCAAGGAAGCTGCTGTTTCTATGGTGACCTCGGAGCCTCCTGATGCCCCCCCCAGGGGTGGGAGAGAAGGCGGGTGCCGTGGGCTCTGTCGGAGGGCGACACTGCAGGTGTGAAAGGGGGCAGGAACCGACAACTGGGCGATGAAGGAAGTCGCGAGAAGGTCCTTTCACTACCGCCATCCGGGATCATGATGCAAACTACCCTGGATCCCGTCCCCGAGTCGGGGGCTGCAGAGTCCAGCTGCCCACCTGCCGGAGCCTCGCGAGTCGGCATTCGCAGAGCTTGAGGGGCAGTGGAGGAAGGGGAGGGGCAGGGTGGCGAGGGAAGACAGCCTGAGGTTCTGAAGGGAGCCCCACTACGCCAGCCCCATCTCCTCCAACACGCTCCGGGGAGACTCGTCCTCCTGCAGGATGGAAAGGGGAGGGGGCATCAAGGTGGAGAACTCGGCACGCCACCAGCAAGCCCCCTCCCAGAGACGGCTCTGAGAAGGCACTCTGCACACGCTCAGCCGTTCCAGGTGCCTGGAGGAGCCCGGTGCCCCATGGTCTCAGAGCAGCCTGTTGGCCCTGGCTGCTCTCCCCCCCCCCACTGTTCGCACTACGGCTCTGCAGCAGCCCCCACCGACTGCGGGGGAGAGAGAGTGACTCACGGCAGGCATGCAGCAGCCAAGCACCTTGAGGAGGGGACGAGGGAGGGTGGTGCTCCTCCTCCTACTCCCCCCCCCGGCCACTGGCAGTGGGTGCAGCAGAGCAGCCTGCCTCCCCCCTCCCCCCACAGCCCCTACCTCCTGCAGGAGGTCTGCCTGCTCAATGGCTTTCAAGACGCTCTTCTTGGAAGTGTCCTGCACCTCCCCTCCCATCAGGAACTCGTCCAGGATGAAGTAGGCCTTTTCGAAGTTGAAAATGATGTCCAGTTCACACACCTGGGGGGGAGGGGCACAAGGCAGGGAGGGCTTTGCTAACCATCCTTGGGGAAACAGAAGTGCCCCCCCTTCCCCTCCCCGGGCTGCCAGCCCAATTCCTGGCTTGGAGGACACACAGCCGGTCATTAGCAGGCCCAGCAACCATGAAGGTGTGGGGCAGGGACAGGGGGGCTGCCAAGAGCTGGCCTGGAGCAGTCCTGTTGTGTGGGGCACAAGGGGGGGGGGGCGGGAACAAGTAAGTGGCCAGATCAGCACAAGGAAGGAAAGCTGCAACTCCCTCTGACTCACACTGCCAAAGTATTTGTCTAGCAGCTCCACGTATCGATGGATGAGTTCCAGAGTGATCAGCTCGTTGTCCTGCCCCTCAATGGCACAGCAGAAGTACAAGCTGGCATACCTGGGCCAGAGGAGAGGAAGGAGGGGCCGTGAGTCTCCCCCTTGCCCCACAGCCTCCTCCTCCTCCTCCTCCTCCTGAAAGATCAAACAGCACACTGGAGGGGGGGGGCGCGTGGAGGACCCCCACCATTGCCCTGCCTTCTTATTAGCCAGAGCCGCTCAGACACGCCAGTGGCCCTCTCCCCTGGGGACCCCTTACCGTCTTTGGGACGTAGCCCACCCCAACGGGCAGAGCACCCCCACCCCTCCCCAGCAGAGATCTGCGCTGTCTGTCCAGAGCAGCACTTAAAGACCAGAAAGAGGCCTGGCTGCGGAAAGGAGCCGTCTGACACGTGCAGCCCAGCCGTCTTTGAGAGGACATGGGAGGCACAAGGCAACAGAGCGTAACAGAGCTCTTCCTGCCCTGGGACCCCCCCCCCCAAAAGGGAGAGGAGTGGGTAGGGATGGGCCCTCTGCTGTCCCCCAGCAGGCACAGGAAGGGAAGGAGTAAGAAAACACAGAATGCGGCTGTGCTGGATGTCCGAGCGGCCCTCGGTTCCGCCTGGCAAGGAGGCCTGATGGACAAGGCTGGACCCTCTTCTCGTCTGGGGGGAAGCAAGGCCTTCCCGGAGGACACACACCCCCCGTTCCCCAAATAACCATGCTGCTTCTGGCTCAAAGCGAGGAGGAGGAGGAGGAGCAGGAGCAGCAGGAGAAGGCTTTGTGGGCCGGCTCCTCCTCCTGGGAAGGAGTCACCTTTTGTAGACCACCTTCAGGTCCCGCCATTCCAGGAAGCTGCACATCTTGGGCTTGCGTGCCAGCACCACCTGCATCAGCTCCCGGACCGTCTTCTTCTTGTCCCGGTCGGAGGTGGCCAGGTACCACTTCTGGAGGCGCAGCTTCCCTTGCCGGCTGAAGAGCAGCATGAAGCGCATCTGCGGGGCACAGACGGGGGGGGGGGTGTCAGCGCCCCCCCCCCAGCCTTCCTTCCGCCCCGCGGAGGCCCCTCTCGGCCAGCGGCAGGCGCTCGGCAGCGGACCCGGCTCCGAGGCGGCCCCCCCGACCGCGGGGACGAGCGGGGGGGGGCAGAGGCGCGCGCGGCCACCGGGAGGTCCGTGCCGAGAGCCCCGGGTGGGCGGGGGGGGGCACGAGGAGGCCTCGGAGNAGGCCCCGCTGCTTCGGCCTTGCTCTGGGCCGCCCGCCCGCCCGCCCGCCCGCCCTCCCGCCCGCAGGCCCCGGAGAGCCGCGCTCGCCCGGCGGGCCGCTCCTGCTCGTCGGGCGGCGCCCGAGCCCGCCCCGGCCCTGGAGCCCGCCCCGGCCCCCGCCCCGGCCTCACCATGGCGGCGGCGGCGGCGGCGGCGGGGCGTCCCTGGCGGGCCCGGCAGCCGCTTCCTCTCCGCCCTAACCTGCCCAGGTGCCTGCGCCCGCGCATGCTCGTGGCGCGCACTTCCGGGCCCGGGCGGTTGCCGGGAGACGCGGGAGACGCCCTGCCGTGACGTCAACGGGAGGCCGCCCCGCCCCACAACCGAGGAGAGGCGGGGCCCGGCTTCGCCCCTCCCCCTTCCCGCCCTTCCCGCCCCGTGGCTGGAAAGCAAAGCAGGCGAGTCGGTGGGTTGCCCATCGCGGTGTATTTTTATGTGCAAAAATAAAACAAAACATCTGCATATATTAAAAGTCTTTCTTTTTAGTCCCAAAGTGCTGCTGCAGTCCAGACGGCTCTTGCTCCGGGAGGGCAGGACGGGCCGGCTCCCTGATCCAGCGTGGCCTCCTCCTCTCCCCAGGCCTTCCTCGGAAGCGGCTGGCAGAGCTCCCCTGCGCCTCGGGGCCTCCTCCTGCCTGGACCTTCATCCGCCGGTGGCGACTCGCCGGGTGCCCGGTTCTGGCGCTGGTGCCCTGGATGCCACGAGCGGCGGGGCAGGCGAGGGAGAAGGCCCAGCCGAAGCGGCCTCCACGAAGAGGGTGGTGGGGGAATCGTCCCGCTGGCTGGCGTGGAGGCTCCCTGGGCAGGCGCAGAAAGGCCCTCCTTCGCTTCAAAGGGATGTCGGGCGCCAGCAGGGGAGGGGCGCTCAGGGCTCCATCACCTGCCCTATGAAGAGGACGGTGCCTGCAGGGAGGAAGAGAGGTGTTACAGGGGGCCAGAGGCGGGTGGACCAAGCGGAGCCGCCTCCGCCCCCTTCCTTGGCTGGGGTGGGGGTGGGGATACAGAAGGGGGCCAGGGAGCCTCCTGGGCTGGCCTGAAACAGCCCCCCCCGTGCCCGTTGCAGACCAGCAGCCTCCAGCTGAAGCGGGACCAGGGCTGGAGGGAGGTAGAGCCCTGGGTGCCCTCACCGGATGGATCTCCAGCTAGCTATCCTGGTGAAAAGAGGCCCAGTGCTGGGGGGGGTGGGGGGTTAGGGTTCCGGGGTTTGTCTCTGGCCGTCTCTGAGCTGCCGCCCTGACAGAAGAGACAGAAGAGGCCCAAACAGGGTCCCTGCCCTGAAGGCCTCCCCTGTGGTTCAGACTGGCTGGGTGGCAAAACAGCTCACCCTAAGGGAAGGTTGTGTTTGCATCACGAGGGTGCCAAGCGAATGTATACTGTGAAGGCTTAGCACAATGACCAGTTCGCATAACCAGTGTTGTCTCATGACACTGAGCCACCCAACTTAGGCACCTCTGGCTAATTTGGTAAAAACTCACGCGGCTCTTGGACTGAAGCAAGGAGGGGTTTTCCTTTGGTCTGTACCAGAAACCCCGGCCGGCACACAGGCAGCCAAGCCAAGCCTGGCGCTGGGTGCAGTCCTGGTTCAAGTGAAGCCCTCCTTTATTTGGGGGGCGGGCGGGCTGATTTTTCCCTGGGCTCCTGCAACCCCCGAGAGAGAGGCCCCTGCAGTCTTTGGGGGGAGGAAAGGGTCCTCGGTGGGCCTTACCGGTTGGGTTGTGCCGCACAACAAAGAGGAAAGGACGGTCCAGCACGATCTCCAAGGGCGCCATCCGGGCATAGATGACGGCAGCTGGAAGGGAGGGAGGAGAGCTTAATGTTCAGTGGGCACCAGTGCCACCCTCCGCCCACCCCCTCCTGAGGCTCGTGGGAGGAATCATGGGGGCGACCCACTTTGGAGCAAAACCAACCCCGTGCATATCAGGGAGCCCCAAAGTGAGGGGGGGGGTTGTTTGCTGCCAAGAAGCAGGTTCTTCGCTGCCCACAAAACGGGGCAGAGAACGGCCCCTGCAGTGGTCCAGGGTACCCACCCGTGGCAGAAGCAGCCTCGGTACCACTCTCATTCACGTCCATCTTCACTTTCTGCAGCGCCTGAGACACAAAGAGGGCATCCCGCACTGCAAAGAGAGGGCAGAACCCGTGAGCGTGGCCCCGACCCCCGTATCCTCTGCACGGGCAAGCAGCTCTCTCTTGGGCTGGTCCAGTGCCCCGGGGGGGGGGGGGTGCCAGCCAAAGCCACAGCAGGATACTCCAAACGTCCGGCCTGCTTCGGCCAGGGGGGTCTGGGCTCTCTCGCTCCAGAGCTGATGGGCTCCAGGAAAAGCACTCTGCGCATTCCCCGGGATCTCTTTCCCCCCTCCTGGCCTTGGGCCTTAGCGCTGCCAGGCTCCCTGCAGCCAGTGGGCAGCAAGTGCCCCGCCTGGAGGGTGACGAGCCAAGGGGGCATGGGGGGGGGGAGACCCCAACCTGAGAGGCGGCTGAAGTTGGCCTTCTGGCAGTCAAACATGTCCGTCATGCCCAGGGCCTCCAGCGGCCCGCGGAGGTCAACTTCGCTCTCCAGAGAGAACCTGCAAAGGAGGAAGGGTCAGTGAGGGGCAGGAGGGCCTCTGCGGGGTTGGTGGCTGGAGCCAGTCCCGAGTGACCCCTACTTGGGCAAGACGAGGAGCCGTGTCACGGCGGACATGTTGCCCTTCCACTCCGCAATGAGCCGGGTGTCGATGGCAGCCGCCAGGGCCGAGAGGGGGGCGTTCAGCTGGAAGGGGGTGGCGATCAGCAGGCTCAGCGTCTCCCCCTGGTAGGGCAGTTCGATGACATCGTAGCTCCCCTGCTCCGGGAGGGAGAACTCGCCTGGAAGAGACGGGAGATCTCAAGCACGAGCCCTGCGCATCCTGACCCCAGTACTCTGCACATGCTCAGAGAAGCTCCCTCGGGATGACTCAGGCCCAAAATTGCCCCAGCCCCCATCTCTCCAAGGAGGGGCCCCCTCACCGTAGTGGAATTCGGCCGTCTGCTCCATCATGGGGACCGCAACGGTGCTACCGTCCAGCTTGTGGAAGATGCGCTGGCGAGTGGCGGCCTCCGGGAAGGGAAGTCGCCAGAGGCCTTTGAAGTGGATGGCGTTCACCAGCACCAGGCGTGTCATGGCACCCAGGGCGCCCTCCTGCAGGAAACCCTGGATCATCCCTGAGAAAGCAGAGACGGGCGATGGGTGGGCAAGGCAGGGCAACCTCTGCTTCCAGGCTCAGAGGTCCTTAGGCGCGAGTCCTGGCCCGAATCAAGCACCCCGCCCGGCTTTTCCAGCCTGGGGACCCAGGGCAAAGTCTGCCTGGTTTCCCGAGGGTTCTTCCTGCAGCTCCCAGGGCCTCCCCAGGCCCGTCCCAGGAACTCTCCCTGATGCTGCTGCTGCTCACCATTGGTGTGCTGCTTTACCCAGGCATTGACAATGTCACGTGCGCGGGCAGTCTCTGAGAAGTCCACCTGCTTGACCATCTGGTGAAAAATTCGTTGGAAGCGCAGCATGAAGGTGGGCACCAGTGGCAGATCGCGCTGCACAAAAAGGGCGTCTGCCATCTCCACCACGTCCTTGCTCCGGGGGTCGCTCAGGGTCTTCTGCAGCAGTCGCAGGGCTCGTGGGACGCCCCGTTCTGTGGGGGAGAGCGAATCCTCAGCTCCACTGGAGCCAGGCCCTCTACTGACCTCTCCCAACGAACGCCAGCAGGGATGGTCTGGGGAGAGCAGAGTTGGCCTGCAAGAGGGCGTGGCGGGCCCTTCCTCCTCAGATGCTTGGCCCTTCAGGCAGGGTCTGCAGGCGGTTGGGGTCAGCCACAGGTCCTCTCCTAGCCCACCTGTTCACGCTTCCAGGCTGCGCAGGTTGGGAGGTCAGGCGCCCTACTAGGCTGCCCTCCCCACGTCCTTTTTCCCAAAGAGCAAACCAACAAAGTGAAGTGGTGCCCCCACGCCCCTCCCCCCTGCAGCCCCTCACCTTTCAGGCTGAAGCCCATGGCATCCTTGATCTGGCGCCGGGTGTTCCCCTCCGACGCCACCTGGAGCATGGCCACCACGGAAGCCACGCCGTGGGGGGAGAAGGCCAGGTTCTGCTCTTTGGAGGCCTTGGACGCTTCCCGGAACACCCGCAGTCCGAAGTCCCCGGAGAGCTGGGCCATGCGGGCCACCTGGCGGCCAGAAGGGGCGGGCGCGGCGCGCGAAAGGGCCAGGCAGGCCAAGGACAGGAGGGACCACAGCTCCATCCTGCCGAGAGAGGAAGAAGGTCAAGCGGCGCCATCCTGGCCGACGCGGCTCCCGGCGACCCACAGCGGGGCCCGGGGCGGGGGGGGGATGGCCGCCGCCTGTCCCTGATCCCGGGCCGGAGCAGGCCCGCCGAGGCCACCCCGGTTCCGTCCTCAGAGCAGGAGGGGCGGGACCGCCGCCGCCAGGCCGATCAGGAGAAACGGCCGTCCCCGGGGCTGGCAAGGCGGGAGCCCCTCCGCCTCCGGCGCGTCCCCGTTGCTTACTCGGCTCTCAGGGCGGCCGTGTCTGGGCTCGGTGCCGGTGCGCTCCCGCCGTCCCGCGCTTGGCTTTTTATGCGCTGCGCCCGCCCGCCAGGAAGCCGGGATGAAGTCAGCGGCGGGCGCCGCCCCTCCCCCCGCCCCCGCTAAGCGCCGGGCGAGCAGCCGCCCCCGCCGCGAGACCGGCCCCCGGCCCGGCCCGCGCCCGGAAAGCGAGCCAGCCCCCCAGCCCGAGCAGCCCGGCCTCCGCCCCCTCGGGGCCTCCTCGGCGGAAGGGGGGCGTTCTCCCAGCCATGGACGGAAGCCCCGGGAGCCGGCGCGGGAGAGACCGCTCGCACCCGGAAAGCGGGCTTGGCCGCGGGGCCCTCTCCGGAGGGAAGGTCGCCTACTTCAGGCGCACCGGGAGAGGCAGGGACGGCCGGGGAGGGATCCGGGCGGCAGGGGGCTGCGGCCGACGGAACGGCCGAGGCAATCCTGAGCTGCCTCCGCACCGGCGCTGACGCTGCGCCGGTCCTCTCCGGGCGGCACTGACCAGATTGCAGCCGGACTGTCCTCCAGGGGGTCCACCTGGGGTTGCCACAATGGGAGAAGGCCGCGAGGAGCCGCAAGGAGGGCAGGGAACGAAATCTAGGAAGACAAGAACTAGGGATGGGCGGCCTAAAGGAGACATCCTCTTTAGGGGAGACGGGAAACCACCTTCTGGAAAACCTGGCTTGTGTAGATCGTCATTGGGCAAGGCAGCCACCCACAGAGGGAAGCGGCATAGAGAAGGCCCAGGCTCTAAATGAGGAAGAAGTTCCTGACCACAAGGGCCTTCTGCAGTTGTGGGCCTCTATGGCAGGCGTCTGGGCAGCTCTTTGCCTGGGCAAGGCTGGACTACGTGACCTCCAAGGTCCCTTCCAACCAGGTGAGTCTCTGAAGAGAGCCTTTCCTGGAGCATGGTCTGAAGTTGACTCTTGTCCCGGTGGGTGTCACGGGATCCGTTCTGAGGCTTCTTCCGGTCCCATTTCCCTGGGCTGCAAGGAGCAGGGAGCCCCCCACCCTCCGAGCCCCAGGGTTCCCTCCTGGGCCCTGGACCCGGGCACAAGGGTTCAGGGAAGGACTGCGGCTCTCCCCACCCCCACCCAGCACGTTTTGCAATCTCTACTCGGCACATTTCAGCCCCTGCTGCTAATCAGCCGTCTCGGGATGATGCAGCCTGAAGTGGCCGCTGCTGCGGGGGTGGATTTCCCCCTGCTGGGCCAGGATGAACCCAGTCTCCTTTTGGCCACAGCGTCATCGTTCCTGAACGCTTGGAATCTCTCTCTGCCGCGTCCGGCTGTCAGCCAAAGCTCTTTGGTCAGACGGAACAGTCCAAACACGGGGGTGGGAGAGGAGTTCCGTTTGTGGGCCGGGAAGCCCCGGCTGGCCCCAGGCAGGGAAGGGTCAGGAACAGGGCACCGAGCACTCCGTGTGCCCTCTGCGCAGCTGGCTGGCACCGTGGCTGTTCCCCAACACATCTGTCCCTCGTGAAGCAGCATCTGGAGAGGAGGCCGGTTATCGGGGCACCCTGGGGCGATGCTGGGCCCAGTGTTGGTGGGCGGGAGGGGAAGGACAGCCCGGAGGCACCGTTTCCACCAAGGGCCCCTGCTGGTCAGCACGCTGCTCCTTTGAGTGCGGGGGAGTGGCCAGCAGGAGGACATTCCAGGCTAAGTGGTCATCAGTCCCAACCGACAGTGAGCCATTCAGGGACTGACTCTGCCAGGTTCCCAGGCGGCCCATCTGCAGCAGGAGGCGGAGAGGAATGGAGAGCTGGGGAGGGGGCGCCATCCAAGCAGAGCAGGGTCCTGCTGCTCCTCCTCCTGGGATGGGAGGAAAGTTGAAGCTTGGGGCACCAGCACTGGGAGCCCCCTTGCTCTGATCTTGGCTTGGCCTTCTGAGCTCCCCTCCTCTTAGCTTTATGACCCCCAACACCCCATGAAGACTGAGACACCCCCCCCTGCTCCATTTCTGCTGACCACCGACTCTACGTCTTCACTCCAAACTTTGAGCCCCTTTGAGATTCAATGTGCCCAACCAAAAGGAGGCCTCCTACCTGCCCCCCCCACCCCATGGGAGGCCAGGCTAAACAGACGGAAGGCTAGCTGCCCTCTGGCGAGGGGGGGCTGTCTGTGAGACAGAGGGGCCACCCCTACTTGAAAGCCAGCAAGCCCCGTCTGTGGAGCTGCCCGGCTGAGGCGGGGGCCTCACTGGGACGAAGTCCTCCGGTTGCGGAAGCTTCCTCTGGGAGAAGCAGCCGGGTCTTCCCATTGTGGCCACTGCCTTTGGCGCTTGGCCCCTTCTTTGCCACACGGATGACCTCCGAGAAGGTCCTCCCTTGCTGGGCCCTCCCAGGAGGACAGGGTCAGCAGCTGCCCCTCAGGGCTGGCAGGGGGAGGTCACGGCTGCTGCTGGCTCCACTTGTATAATTTGGCCTTTGAGCCCCTCGTCCCCTGCACCCCCAGCCCCACCCAACCCTGGGAGAGAGCTGTCAAAGAGTCCCTCCAGCCTCAAGGGGCACCTGGCAGGCCACAGCAGCAGGTAGAGCGCCCTGCCCGGCCAGGCCTTGGCTCGGTTGCTGCACGGCGTGTGCCCGTCCCTGCCCAGCAAGCTCAGCTCAAACCCGCTCGGGCAAACAGACTCAGCAGCCCAGTTCCCAGGGACACCCCAGCAGGGGCAGAAAAGAAGCCTTGGGCTGAGCCACGTCAGGCATGTTGAAGAGGGGTGTGAGACTGGGCATGTCAAGCATGGTCTCCCCACAGATGCTCTCTTCCTGGGCTGCCCCCCTGCATGGCCTCTGGGGCTGCTGTCGGCCAAGGAGGAGCAGCCCGGCCCAGCCACCGGCCTCCAGCGGGAAATGTCGGTCAGGAGCTGCACCATAGCCTCCCCCCCCCGGCTAGTGGCAAGCGTATTGGGAGATCGGGAGCACCACGTTGGGGAAGGCGGGCTTAAACATGGTTTTGTGCAGATCCAGACTTGAACGTGTGTCTCCTCTCTTGAAGGAGCCGCCCTGGGTGCCTGCCTGCATCCCAGTGCTGCTTGCCACCTTTAAAGCCCCAGATGGCTGGGGGCCAGGCCGTCTGATGGACGGCCCCTTTCCGAAACATGTACCCGTCTCACCAGGGCAGGAAGGCAGGGCATGTTGCCGGGTGGGGGGAGGGGAGTCTGGTGGGACGCAGGAAAAGGGCCTTCTCTGCACCAGCCCCCTCCTTTGGAGCCCCATCCCCCCAGAGATAAGATTGCCCCCCCCCGTGTGGCTTTTCAGCAAGGCCTTAACAGCGTGGGGGTGTCGGTGGGCCTGGGGACCCCATTCAGAGCTGATCAAGTGTTTGATTCTGTGGATGCCGCCATGGGGTGGGGTGAGGGTTAAATTGTGGATTTTTAACTGGGTTTTTAATGTGGCACGCTCCCAGGGTCACTGTGTGTATAAATTTGTCAAATAAATAACATAAAAGAGCTCTCTGTGGGCTGAGCCACTCTAGGAAAAGGTTGTTGTGACTGGGCTTGAACTGTGTTTCTACCAGCCTCTCCCAGTTGATCCTGTGGGGGGGACCATGACTCACTCGGGGCCGTCTCGGAATTCCCTTTGGCCTGCAGCTGCCCCCTGCCCGGCTTTATCTTCTGCTCAAGACCTCTGCCGGTCTTCCTGTTTGCTCCCTTCCCCTGCTGAGGCCCTGGGTCCCAGGTGTTTCCTCTCCCGCCAGCCCTTCCTGGGGCTCTTGACCTGGGCCAAAGGGGTTGGCCCCAGAGGGCTCCAGGGGAGGAGAGCGGGGGGGCCCTTGTCGCTCCTGAATGCTCTGCGGCTGCCCCGCACTTGCTGTCTCTGCGGAGCTTTTGAGAGGAAAGGGGGCCAGAGGGGGAACCCTCAACCCACCTTCTGGGCACCCTGGCATTGCACGCTGCAGACGTGTGCCAGGGTGCCCCAGCCAGCAGAGAGCGGCCCAGGGCAGAGGTAGGGGCCAGCAGACACAGCCTGCATCACCCACAAAGGCCGGGCCCTGGCTCCTCCTCCATCTGTCCCTAGAGGGGGTGCTCTGTCATTCACAGCCCCCCTGCTTTGCTTCCACCCACCCACCTGACCTCTCACCCCCTTCCTCAGCCCAGCCATCTCAGTAGGAGGGGTTCCTGCCTAGAGACAGAGTCCCCCACCCCATTTGGAACTGTAGGGCTGGGCCCAGCCAGGTGCCCCCCCCCCAGCATCCCCAAAGCAGCAGCCGTGGAGCCAGACAGCCCCTCCCTCCCAGCAGACCCAGACGGGCCCGCAGGGCTCCTTCTAACACCAGGAGTTCAACGTGACTGGCCCCAAAGGGGGTGGGGGAGGCAGGGGGAGGGGACAACTGAGTCATGCCTGCAGCAGGAGAGGCTGCTGCCCAGAAAGGCAACACAGAAGCAGCACTTGAATCCCGGCACAGACCGGCCGCCACTCTGTGCCCACCAGAGGGCCCTGCTGTGGGGAGAGCCCCGGCTTCGGAGACTCCACCAGAGTGCAGTGGGGGGGGCCTTGTGGGGCCCAGAGGTTGAAGGTAGAACTCCTGCCTGGGATCGTCCCTGCCTCGTTCATCCCCCCCCCCCCGCTGCAGACTGGAGGCTGGCTGGATTGGCACAGGGTGACCCCCTCAGCCTGCCTCCCCATGAAGCATGAACGTCTGCCCACACTTCTGGGCTGCCCGTTTCCTGGGCATAAATGGATCAGGGCCTCCAACCTGGCAGGACGTGGCCATTTGGCAGAGTTGGCTTATTGTGCAAAGTCCAATCCTAACTGATTCTGGGTGGGGTACAAGACAGCCCCCAAGTGCCCGTGGGGGTTCTCCGTCCTCCAGGTCCCGGTTGTCCCACAGGTGCTTTTCCAGGAGGCAACTGGCTGTCTTGTTTTTCTTCAAAGACGTTTCACTTCTCCAAGAAGCTTCTTCAGCTCTGACTGGATGGAATCCTTCCGTTCCCCACCATCCAGTCAGAGCTGAGGAAGCTTCCTGGAGGAGGAGCGAAACGTCTTCAAAGAAAAACAAGAAAGTCCAGTTGCCTCCTGGAAAAGCACCTTTGGGAGCCCTCAAGTGCACTCATAAAACCCTCAGATGCCTCCGACTCTACCTCCCCTTCGGACACGGGCCAAACCGGAAGAGAGGCCTGTTTTCAGAAGGCCCACGGAGGGGGAGGGGGAGGCCCTCTGGACCACCAGGGGCCCACCAGAGGGGAGGGGGGCCTCAGGCGGCTCGTGGCCTCTGCCTTCCACGCAGCAGGCTTGCGGCTTCTGCCTGCTCCAGTTCACACATGCCCCCCAGCCTGTGCACGATTCGGGGGTCTGAGAAGGCTGTTTGCCTTCCCCCCTTAGGGCCGGTCGGAGGGTGCTGGGCCCGGAGGTCCATAGAACCGGCACTTCCTGCACCGGGCAGAAGGGATGCCAGTTGTCCCCCCCCCCCGCTGGCTCCTCAGGAGGCTGGGCTGCTGGCCACCCGGCTGCAACAACAGCACGTCGGAATTCAGGATTATGCAACTGGTTGGGCAACTTGCGGTTGGCTTCATGTGCGCACACCATTGTGTGTCACACAAAGCAGGGTGGTTCCTGCTTTGGTTTCGGGAGATTTTGCTGATTAAAAGCCTCCAAAGGAAGAACATCGTTTCCAAAGCCAGGTCAGCACTTCAGAGGAGAACGTTCTGGGGGGGGGGCGGATCCTTCCCTGGCGGGGCAGCCCCTTCCAGGCTGGAGTTCCCTGGGCAGCAGGAAGGCCCAGCTGGCCCTCTGCCTAAAAACAGCAGAGCAGGGGAGGGAACGGACGGTGGGGGGGGGAGCAGGAGCCCGGCATGTGGGGAGAAGGCCCCTGGGCTAGAAGGCTACAGACACCAAACCAGTGTCTGAGCCAGCAGGGGCAGCTGCTGCTGTTGCTGCTGCAGCCTTTGGGCCACTGCTGGGGGGGGAAGGGAGGGGGGATCCCTTGGATGGTGGTTTCTTCCTCCCATTCCCTCCCTTCCTTTGAGCACTCTGGCAATTTCCCTCCCTTGGAAATTTCTCTGTTCTCAAACTCCTCCTGGGCCACTCTGCCTGTGCTGACCCCCACCCCCCCTAGTTTGGGGTGGCAGGGGGTTCCTGGGAGCAGGGCAAGCCCTTCGTGGTGGCAGAGCTCAGGACCTGCTCCAAAGGAAATCCACCTGGCAGCCCCACAAGGCAGACGGGAGCCGGAAATAATCCGCTCCCCAGGAACCCTGAAAGGACTTTGCGCCAGTAGCAGAATCTCGCCAGCCTGCTTGAGCTGCCCCAGCCGATTCCGGGGAATGTCCCAGAGGGCGGAAAAGGTCGGGAAGAGGGCGCCCGTGGGCAAGGAGGACTTAGTCATAGCTGCTGTTCCAGGATGGGTTGTTTGTGTGTGCTGTCTCTTAGCAGCAGCGGCAGCGGCAGCAGAGGGTTGGAGGGCAGCCGCAGGAAGGACCACACCTGACCGGGAGCGGCAGGTAATTCAGCGCATTAATGAATAAATGAAACAGCCCGAACAACGTCTATGAAGATAATTTTTTCTGGCATAGCAATACTTTTTTTTAAAAAAAATGAAGGAATGAATGAAGGAAGGATTTTTGTTTGTTTATTTAAATTAATTATATGATCATCATCATTAAACATCCCCCCACGATGGCAGCAATGCAGGATTATTGCATCCTTCAAACAAATGAGCACAGCTGGTCTCCCAAGGGGGGCTCAGAAGTAAAACCCTTATTGGCTTGCTGGGATGCCCTTTGACCCCCCCCACTTCCCTGTGATGTTAGCGTCCACAGAAGACGTGCCTCCCTCCCTCCCTCCAGCCAGTCCGGTGGCCTTTCCGAGAGCAGACTTTGTGGCACCCATTTCTGTCCACCCTCAGCATTCCTGGGCTGGACTGGGGTGGTGGAAGAGGCCCAGCCTTCTAAAGACACGGCCCTTCACACAATGAAGGGTTGAATGGGGGCCTGAACACTCCCCCCCCACACACGTCTCAGAGCCAATCTACCGCCAAAGGACGTCTGCTCCCATCTGGAACCCTGCAGATGTGCCATCCCCGGGGCCTGCTCCCCATTTACTCGCCCTGATACTTGATCTTAAAGACATGGATGGTGCCGTTGGTGAGGGCTACCACAAAATGGCCGTCCCCGGCAATGGTGATCACTCGTGGCTTGAAGACGCTATTCTCTGTTGTGAGAAATGATCCCAGCTCTTCCCCGGCCTCTGAAAAAGCCACAATCTTGTTCAGCTCCCGAAGCACCACGTAGACGATCCCGGGGGCATCAGCACAGACGCTGCCTGGTTGAGACCCACTCAGCTGCTCCTCCTGGTATTCGGTCACCAGATCCCCGTTCCTGTCGAGCAGCACCACGCTATGTCGGTACCAGTCAGATGCCACAAATCCCTTTTTCCATCTGCCCAGGAATACCAGGCACCTTTCGTGGGAGGCCTCCGGCACAATCTTCTCCAAGAGTTGCCCTTTCAAGTTGAACACCTCCAGATGTCCCGCCACAGACACGACCACGGAGTTCCCATCACAGGTGGTCACTGCGTGGCTGGCCTGGCCCCCCTTGAGTGCCTTTTGCCACATAATCCCCCCCGTTTCATTTAAGACGTAGAGCTGGGATCCGGCGGTGAAGACTGCCTTGTTGCCCACAGCAGCCACGCTGAATGGGGCCACGTTGCTCGGCACCGGGATCGTGCCCTTGAACTCGCCCTGCAGAGAGAAGCGCTTCAACTTCTTGTTCTCCTCGTCAGCCACGAGGATTTCGCTGGAGCCAAACGGGAACAAGCCCGTGACCTGTGGCCGCTTTTTGTCAGTTGGGACTTTCACCCAGAAGCTGCAGAAGAAGACAGGTTTTGGGATCAACCGAGGGACCTCTGGACCCACTTCCGCCGGCCCAAGGCTTTCCCCACTTGGGGCCCTTTCCTGTCTGGAGGCCTCCCCCTCTTCTGCTCCCTGGGGCCGCTGCTGTTGCTTCTGCTTTTTTTTCTTCTTAGACCATTGGGTGGAGTCCCCCATGCTGCACTCTGGGGTGGTTGTCGTGGCCTTCTCGTGAAACTCCAGAAGGAAAAGGTTGCAGCCATAGAGGAGGTCTGGCTGGATGTGGAGCTTGGGGACCTGCAAGGCGAGGGGCTCCCAGGAGAAGCTCTGCAGCTGCCTCAGCCTCTCGGAGATCATCTGCTCCAAGGACACGATCTCCACCGCTTGGCCCAGATTCAGCACCTTCCGGGCAAAGGCCACCGTGGTGGAGGCCACCTGCTCCTGGAAGCCCAGCTCAGAAAGCAGCAGCCGAGAGGCCTCCTTCCGCTCCTCCAGGTAGCCAGAGAGTTGGCCCAGGACCTTTTCCTTGTGGCTGAGCAACTGTTCCACGGCCTTGGCACACGTCTGCTCTACCACGCTGCGGATGTTCACGTTCCACGCCTCCATCTCCTGCCTCTCCTTCTCTAGGTTGACCTTTGCCTTGGTGAGGAGGTGCATCTTCTCCTCCACCCCACCCAAGAGGCCTGTGAGGATGGGGCGGCGGGCTTTGGCGGCCTCCGACAGGGGCAGGCACGGGTGCTCCAGGTGAGGACCCAGACGGCACTCCCGGCAGAGGGCAGCAGCACAGGTGACGCAGAAATACTGCAGGTCTTCATCCTTGTGCTCTTTGCAGCGTGAGGCCTGACGCTTCCGGACCTCCTCGTTGTACTTCCCAGAGCAGTAAGCCTCCATGTCTACCAGGAGGTGGCCGTGGGTAAGGCGGGAGCAACGGTGCCCGCGGGCACAGGCCTGACACAGGTGGTCGGCACAATCGATGCAGTGAGACACAGCGACAGAGCTGGCATCTTGGCCAATGAGCGGGCACAGGCTGCAGGTGGCCTTGGCCTCCTCGACCGGAGGCACCAAGTCCAGGAGGCCGTTGATGAAGAAGTTGGTCTTCAAACCTTCAACGCCGGCTGGGAGAGGCACCACCTCGCGGCATTCAGGGCACTGCAGCTCCCGCTTTGACCCACCCAGCAGCTTCTTCAGACAGTCCTGGCAGTAGCTGTGGAGGCAGGGTAGGATTTTGGGCTGGCAATAGTGCTGCAAGCAAATGGTGCAAGTCAAGAAGCCGCTGGAGAGGGTCTCCCAGAGGGAGGATGCTCTGGCAGCCATCTGGCCACCTTCTTCCGTCCAGAGAAGCAGGGGGTGAAGAGGAAGCCCACCCTGGCCTGTGCCTGGAAGAGAAGGAAAAGAAGGGAGGGTGGAACCACGTCCAAGCAAACCCCCCCCCCCCACCCCTGGCCTGCTCAAGCGGTGGCCATGAAGCAGAGGGGCTCTGGGACCCAACCTGGTTTCAGCCCCAGGCAGAGGGAGCCGAAGGGGAGGACCAGTGGCCGCCAGTCAGCCAAGGAAAGCCAGCGGCCCTCGCTGTCCCTGGGAGCCAGCCCTTCTTGCAAGCCCTTCTGGCTGGCTCAGGGAGGCCCCTTCCCCTTCGGGAACTCCCAGCGTGGCTGTAGCACCTGCTCCCCCCCCCCCCCGCAGACCCTACAGAACCGCAGACCTCGGAGGTCTTCTGGCCCGGCGCCCTGCTCGAGCAGGAGACCCCAGGAGGGCCCCCAGGGCGCTGGCAGCGCCGGAGGGGGCTTCTCCGCTGGGCGCCTCGGGCGGGCCCTCAGGGCTGGAGGGCTCCTCCTCTCCTCGCCTTGCGGGGCAGCCGGTGGGAGGCCAGTGTCGCCACCGAGTACTTCGTAAGGGCAACTGCTGGGCGGAAGCAGAAACGAAACCAAAAGAAGCTGCCCCGAGGGCTCTGAGGCGCGCGCAAGAACTGGCAGGGAACCCACCCAAAGGCCGGAGGGGAGTCACGATTCTCCATTATGACCCCCTCAGGGGCCCAGAGCCTTGCCCGGCCCAGCCAGGCGACGGCTTCCCTCGCAGCCCTCTCGCCTCAACGCGGCCTTTGCTGACAGCCGCGCCAGGTCAAGCGACTCGGGGGGCTGCGGCGGAGGCGTTTCCTTCTCCGCTGCTCCGGAGCTCGTCTGGAGGAGGGCCTGCTGCGAGGGAGCCCAGGGCTGGAGCCCTGGAACGCCTGGGGGAGTCTGCGTGCTTTGAGGAGGGGGGGGGGCTTGGGGCCATAAGAAAAGGCCATAAGAAACACTGGCAGCCTCTCAGCGTGGGCTCATTCCGTCCCATCCACTCCGGCTTTTCCACCAACCCGGCCTCTCTTCAGTGCCCGGTTTGCGGGGGGGGGGGGTGTTGCAGAGATGCAGACGGGGCGCCTAGAAGGGCTGGGTTAATTCTTGGGGGGGGGGACGACAGGTGTCCTCACCAAGCTCGCCCCTTTCTAAGCCCGGTTTCTCCTTTTGCTTTTGCGCGTGGCCCGAGTGGGGAGCCGTGATTGCCGTTGAACAAAAGGGGCTAGTCGGAAAACGGCCTCCCAGACTCGCCAGGGAGTTCGCTGCTTCCTCGCGCGGCCCCTGCAGTTGCACAGGGGTTCTCACCTGTATGCGTGGCGGGGGGGGGGACCCAAGCCCTCACTTCCTGGCAGGGGCCACGGGTGGGCTTTTGACTCGTGGAACAGTTGTCTCCTGTGCAGGCAGCTCTCGCTGGAGGGTGCTGCGGGCGGGCGGGGGGGAGGGCAGGTCCACTGGTTGCTCTGGGGGGGGGGAGTAGCACAGCCGCTCTGACTCTTTGCCCCCCAGGCCCAGGTCAGGCCTCCCCGTCCCACTTCCCACCCCTCGGTCTGAGGACAGGGGCGCTTGGGGATGGAGGGGCGGCGGGAGAGAGAGCTGGGAAGCCGGGCGTCCACGGAGGGCAGGACAGGCAGAGAGGGCTGGAAGTTGTTTCAGCCTCCAGCCCTCTAATCATTTCTCTTGCTTTTCTCTTTCTGGACTCTCAACCTCCTTGATGTGCCGCAGGGATCCCGCGGGTGGCCTTATTATCCAGCTGCGTTTCGCTTCCCCAAGTTTGCTCAGGGCCGCCAGCAGGGGGCGCCGAGCGCTCTCCTTGGACTGGGGGCCGGAGCTGCCGGACAAGCGCGCTGGCTTTCTCCGAGGGGCGCTGCTTTCGCCTCGCCGGCTGAGAGCGGCTGACCGCCCACACTGGGAAAACGGGGGGAGTCAGGCTGTGTGGGGGGGGTGAGATGCGCACATTTGTGTGCCTGCGCTCCACTGTCCCCCTTGCAACACATGCATAGATCCTTGTTTAGAGCAGGGGTGTCCAATCGTGACACCGGAGGACTTCAACTCCCAGAATGCCCCAGCCACGCATGAATTCTGGGAGTTGAAGTCCTCTGTTCTTAAAAGTAGCCGAGGTTGGACACCCCTGCTTTAGAGTCTCCTCTCTTCAGGATGCTGATTGACAGAGGCCCCACTTCTGCCCCTCTCACTCGGTTGCTCCTGAACTGAGAAGACCCCCCCCACCCAGATCAGCCCAAGTGCCGGGGGGGGGCACCCTTGGGGGCCGCCTGATGGGGGTTCAGGAAGGGCCAGCCGCCCTGCCGCTCAGCCACCCCCTCTTGCCAGGCAGGCAGGGAGGATTCCGGCAGAGCTCACCCCACAGATGCGGGAAGGGGGAGAGAAGACATTGCAGTGAGAGACCCCACTTTGGAGGCTTCAGATTCTGCCCCCTCCCCACCCCCACCAGCAGCCAGGGCTCTGGCAGGAACTCCAGCCACCCAGGGAGACCAGCCCCCCCCCCCCCCCCGCTGCAGGGCAGCCCATCTTCTCTGGGGAGGGGAGCAGCCCACGCTGGACTCAGCAGGCGGGGGGGTCTTGCCCCATTTGCCAAGCGGGAATCTCGGTGCAGAACCTCGCGGTCCCCGCCCTCAGCGCTCAGCCCCAGTTGCGGACCTGACAAGAGCTGGCTGAGCTGCTGCCCCCCCTCCTGCCCCCAAGAGACCCAGACGAGGCCGTTGGCATTAATTGCTTTTATTACCTACAATGGCAGGCAAAGCGCTGCTGCTCCCGGAGCTGGTGCAAGGCCGGGGGAGCAGGGGGGTGGTGGTGGTGGTGGCACAGCACTGAGCCAAACAATTTATTTTATTTATTTATTTATTTATTTTTTAAATGTATATCCCGCCCTTCTCCTTGCAAGATGCACCCCCTCCACTCGGAGGGCTCCAAGCCTGGGGTGAGCCCATCAGTGCCGTGCCCACCGAAGCCCACTCCCTCCTGCTCATCATCAACCCCCAGGGCACATTCGCCAGACTTGCAAGGCCGGGCAAGAATCGCTGGAGGTCCAGGAGAGCCGTGCATGGGTCACCCCACAAATAATCTTAGGAACAAGCGGCCCCCCAGACTCAAGTGACAGGGAAGGCAGGGCAGCCTTGGGGGGCTGTTAGGGATATGCTGGGGGTCACCGTCCCTGCCTGCAGAGACAGCATGCGAGTCACGGGCGAGGGGGCAGCGCAGGCAGCAGCCTCTTGCCCCCCCCCCACAGGCCCCATATCTTTGCAAACTCCGCCCCAGAGGCTCCTCAGCATCCAGGCGTAGCAGAAGTCCACGAGTCCCGCCGAGGCTCCTTCTCCTCCCACGTCATCAGGAGCCACTCCTAGGCACCCCAGCCCCCAGGTCAGGGATGGCCGGGCCCAGGAGCCCCACAGCAGACGCCCCGATCGGGCGAGGACCTTGGGACGAGCAACCCAGCAAAGCTGCTTCGGTCCAACCTGGGCTTCCAAGGCTTCTTCAGAGCTGGGTTATCCGGGGCCGAGCAATCCGTGCCTGCAGAAGGAGGGCCAAAGGCAAAGGGGGGGCTGGCTTCGGAGCATCAGGAGGGCGGAAGAAGAGGCAAGCCACCTACCCCCCCCCCCCCAGGGCAGAGGAGGGCACAGGGAAACCCCGCAGGAGCCCTGCCTGAGGGTCCTGATATCCGCAGCCATCTGGGATTGGGGCTGTCAGCCCTCTCCCTCCCCCCCCTCTAGGAACTGTCCTTACGGGTGTTCACTGCCACCCCCTCCGCCCCCACTCCCACCCCCCAGCTGCTTTGCTCTGGGTCCCTGGGAAGGTGCCCCTCCTCTTGCTTGCCTCCCTCCCTGCCCCAGGCTGTGTCTCCCAGCTGCCCCTCCCCCCTTCTGGACCTGGAGGGAGGTGTCCACTTGGTCGAGCCGAGGCCGGAAGCTGCCCTGTGTCGGTGTGGGGCCGGGGTCCTCCCTGCTGGTGCTGGCATAGATGGCTGCAGGGAGAGAGGGGAGGGGGCCCAGTGAGGCAATGGTCCTTCCGCCAGAGAGGCAACCAGCTGTGGGGCACATCCTTGCCCCTCCTCGGAGGCCACCCAGGTCTGGAGCCCTTGGTGCCCTCTTCCAGGGAGGCTCCTGGCAAGACCTACCTGGCTCCTGTTGCTGGGCTTGGGGGCTCTGTGGGGGGAGGCCCTGGGGCCTGGCCACCCACTCCGACTCATTCTCGTACCATTTCTCCTCATTGGGGTTCACGTTCAGCCGCCTGGGGAGAGTAGGAGAAGCGGTCAGGGAGACCTCAGCTCTGGCCCTGGACTGGACGGCCGGAGGAGTCCGGACTGAGCCTGCTCCCCCCAGCGGATGTTCAACCAAGAAAGATGGGCTCCCCCCCCCGCCCACAGGCAACACGAGAGGAGGGAATCAATGCCCTGCCTCTGCGGCTGCATCATTTGAACTCGGGACCCCAAATGCAGCAAAGCCTGCCTTGGCACAGATGCCACCTGGTGAGGGCTTCCCCCGGCCATCTTGGATGCTTGGCAGTGCCAGGGCTGGGAGCTATTGCTGAGCCCTGCCTTCCTCTGACTCGATTGTGCAGGGAGGCCCGGGCAGCTGCTCCCACCCTGGCCCTGGGCCAGCCACCTCCGGAGCTGCCCACGGAGGCGAGCAGCGCTCTCTGGCAAGCGGTGCCGGGCGCTGCAGTGCCAGCCCTTCCGGTAGGGCAGCCCCCTTCAAGGCCCACTCCAGCGTGGCTTCCTCAGGGACTGCTCCAGAACCGCCTTCTGGACAAGCTGTTTGCCCCGCTGGGTTAGCAGTGGCCGCTAAACGTCACTTGGCGTTTCCAGGGAGGGCAGGAAGAGGCGTGTGAAAAGTGGCTGGGACTTCGGCCGGCCCCTCTCTCCAAGACCAACCCGCCCCGCAGGGTCGCTTCGTGGGGAAAACAGGAAGAAAGGACCTGCAGACCAGGTGTGATGCTTGTCTGGAGTTTTAATCCAGGACCTTCAAATATCTGAATTAAATCTGCGGGCGAGGCGTGGAGCCTGCTTTTCTGCGGCGTCTCCCTTCGTAAAGGGCTGCCCTGGGATGTACTCAGCGCTCAGAACAAGGGCTGAGTAGACGGCTCTCTGCTGAACAGGTCCCTGTTTTACAGGGGGAACCTTTGGGCTAGTTTCACGCCTGTGGCTTGACCTTCCCATTGTTTGCTGTTTCTGTTTGGACTGCAGTTTTAAGATGTTGGCAAATCGCCCCGTGGAAACGGTTGCCTCCCGGAGCCTGCCCAGAACAAACACGCCACCTGCAAACCAGGCCCCTGTCGCCAGGAGGTCCCGGGGAGGAAGGCTGTGCCAGGCAGCTGGGAAAGGCCGGAGAAGGGCTTCCGAGCTCCGACCAGGAAATGCCCCCCCAGGCCTGGGTGGGGGGTGAGCCAACTTCGGCAGCAGCCCAGAGGGAGCCCGCAAGGCAGGGCAGCCCAGGACGCCCCGCCAACGTACCTGTGGTCTTTCCGTGGGCGGCAGTGGCGCCAGCAGAGGAGGGCCGCCAGGAGCAGGATGAGGAGCAGTAGGACCGCCAGGCCCAGGGCCACCCCCACGGCCACCCCCACCTTGCTGATGCTCTGGTCGCAGTGGCGGCCGCTATACCAGTAGGCGTCCGACTGCTGGCAGCTGGAAGAGAAGGGCAGAGTGTCAGGGCTGGGGGGGCAGCCTTTCTCTAACTGGGAGGGTTTGGTTCCGTCTTCTGGCCGAGTGGGGCATGGGAAAGGGGGCCCACGGATGCCCTGCAGCACACATGGCCACGAGACTGAGGGGAGGGCCCCGCCTTGCTCCCGGGACACCCAAGGCGCCATCCTGGGAAGGGCCCGGGGGGGAGTTCTGCGAGGGGAGCCCTCTGCGGCTGCTTTGGGCCAGAGCCTCAGGGCAGCTGCCCCTGATCTGCTCCTTCAGGGTCTTGTGGGCAGCTCTGTCTCTCCCCCCCCCAACCTGCCCACCTCCCAGGCCATCCCTGCTCCCAAGCCCTGGCAGGGCCCAAGAGCCAGGGCCGGAGTCTACTGCCCCCTCGGGGGGAAGGGCCCGGGGCGCTGGCTGTGTCGCCCTGTGGTTTCCCAAGGAAGCCCCATAGGTCGGGCTAGTGAGCGAGAGGAGGGGCCCAGGCCCACCTGCCTCTGACACCCCCCCGCCCTACTCACTAGCAGTTCGGCCCATCTCTCTGGATGTAGCAGCTCCCCTTGTCACAGCGGAAGGGATCCGGGTGCCAAAAGCTGCAGTTGGAGACGCACTGCAGCTGGTTGCTAATGTTTCGGGCCAGGTAATACTGCTGCAGGTCTCCCTTGACCACCGAGGTATTTCTGCAGACTTTGGACAAGTCTAGCAGGCAGGCAGGAGAGGAGCCGAGTCAGCTGAGGACCAGGGCACCGACCCCGATTGCAATCCCACCCCCATCGCAGCCTTCCGGGGCCTCGGGTCCAGCCAGTCTCTGCCCCTGCTTTTGGCCCGGAAATGCCACGCACCCCCTCCCCCACCCGTCATGGGGTCAGCCGATGAGGCTGAGCTCCGTGTCCTGGGAGGACCCGTCTCGGCCCTTGCCTGCTTCCTTCATTCTCCCACAGATAAAACGGGCCCCACTGATACCTCCAGCAGAAGGGCCTGCCCCCTTTCTCTTCAGCTGCTGCTCCCCTGCTCCCTCCGTGCCCAGGAAGGCTACCCGTGGAGCAGACCTTACCCTTGGCACGCTCTCTCTCTCTCTCTCTCTCTCTCTCTTGCGCGCACACACACACACTGCAGGGCTCTCACCTTGAGGACTGAGAGCCACTTCAGTCACCCTGGAGTCACTCGAGTTGAAACACAGCTTATCTGAAAGAGACCCGGTTATCACACCATTAAAAGCTTCGATTGCTGCTGGGAAACGGGCTCTCTCCAGGGCCCCCGTCCAGGCAAAGGGCCCGGAGGAGAACTGAACAGAGGAAGCTGCCTCCGGAAAGGGGCTTTTCCCAGGCCTGGGATATTGCATCTCGCCTGGTCCCCAGTGACCTCTTCCCCTCCTCCTCCCCCCCCCCCGCGGGGGATCCTCCCCCTTCCCTGCCCCGCCCCTTTCTCCCCCCAGGGCACTCCGCCAGCAAGGACAGGGAGGGGAGCAGAGCCAGAAAGGCCAGCTGGGGGGAAGGAGAAGAGCCCCCTTCCTGCCCCTCACTCCCCTGACAGCAGCCGCCAAGGGCCCCCGTTGCCCCTCTGCCGCCCCTATTTGCCCGGTTTTCCAATCAACCACCTTTCCTCTAATCTCAGGATGGGGGGTGGTCAGACTTGGTCATGCCCCGTCCTTGCTGGCATGCCTTCGCTTCCCCCGCAGGAGCCAGGCCGGAGCCTCTTGGCCAGGGACTGGCCGCTGGCTGGTCGGCTGGGCCAGAGCGAGCCCCTCTGCGCCCAGGGCTGCCGCGGTGGGGCTAGGCCACCCCAGGCCCCCTCACCTTCGGTCTGGGAGGTACAAACGTCCTCCTTGCTGTACAGCTGAGTCCGGATTTTGCCCACAGCTTTGTCGTAAGTGGCATTGAATTCGGGGAAAGGCACCGACAGGAGCACCAGGTGCTCCACGTTGATGCTGCCATTGCTGGTGGGAAGAGAAGGGGAGGAAGACGCTGCTTCACTGGGCCCCAAAGTCCTACCCCGAGGGCCCCAGGGCGACGTGGCCGTGGTTGTGGCCACTGGGCCACCCACAGAGCGCCTGGGATGGGGTGCCTGTCGCCTCGGGTGGGGCTTTTGCCCAAGGACAGGTGGGGGTGGGCAACCCAGCAATTGTCTCCCCCCAACGGGGCCCCAACTAGGTTCCCCCATAGCTCACCTCAGACGAAGCAGCTTTACTCCCTGGAACCCAGAAATGTTGGCATAGAAAATTTCCATCTAGGGAGGGGGGGGAGGGATGAAGGGAGAGAGAGGGAGGGGTCATTGTTATCAAAGTATCTCTGAGGATGCACATTGAGGCTGCCCCCAACTGCACCAATTCACCCCAGATCTAGGGGGTGGGGGAGGCTTTAAGCAGGCATCGGTCCTTCCAATGTTCCCCCTAAGAGGCTGCAGGCAGAGGCCTCCACCCCTATCACGGAGCCCCACCGGCCTCATCAGCAGTGGAGATCAAGTGAGGACCTGCCAGCCTCAAGCCTTCATTGGGCGACAAAGCCAGATCTATGGGGTACCATTCGGAGGATGTCTGCCTGTGTCGAAGGCTGGTCAGTAGCCAGAAAAGATCAAAGGGCTTCAGAGGGCAGCCGGCCCACCCACCCACAGCCAGGCAGAGGGGAGCTGGGACACCCGGCCAGCTCTTGTTTGGACCGGGTGGCGTCTAAGCGGCAGACGCCTGAGGCCCTGACCAGCCCCACCCCTCGGGCTCTCGGCCGCAGCTCTTGGGACAGGACAAGGGGAGCCCTGGTGGACGGACAGAGGGGCTCTTTGCATCACCCCAGCCACCCTTTTCACCTGCTCCTCAAATTGGATCTCAAAAATCTGGAAAGCCGGAGAGCCATGAATAGCCATCTCTGGTACAAACGTCTTTCGGATCACTTTGACGAAGATGTTGATTGTAGCCATAATCATCACTGTCAGAAAGCACAGGGTAGTGAAAACCTCTAGGCCAAGACCCACAGGCCTCTCCCGGCCCCTCGCCTCTCCCCTCCCCTTCAGGTGGCAATCAAGTGGACTCCTTCACTTGTCCAATTATTTATAGACCCTCCAACTTCCTCAAGGCCTGGTTTAGAGTCAAATAATTGCTAACTCATTAAGGAGCAGAAATCCAGCTGACGCCCTGGTGCCCTTGGTTGCCAGTGCACCCATCTGGAGAATAAGGTCATAAAAACAATGTTCACGTCAACACCCTTGTACCTTCTGTGCCCACACGCCCTTGAACAACAGCATGTTCACGGCCACGGGTGGGAGGGGTCCCTTCCCTGAGAGGGCAGGGCAAGCCGCTCCCCTCCCCACCCTCCCTCCTCAGCTGACTTGGGGTGTGAGCTCCCTCCCTCCCTTTGAAGGGGACAACCGGCCCTTTCAATTGCTCCTGAAAACCTACAGAACTGGGTCCCGGCCCTGAGCACCCATGGCCCCGAGACCCTCCCTTCTGGACCAGGTGGGCGTCTGAAGCAGGCCACTGGACAGTGCACTGAAGTAGCCCAGGCGAGAGGGAACGAAGGCCTCTCTGTCCCGACAGCGGCCTAAGTGTTGCACCAGCCAATACTGGCAAGGGGCCTTCCACAGTGGTGGGAGTGGAAGACCAGGGAGACCCCCTGAACGAACTCCCTCCCGGGCAGGGCTATCTCCAGAAGAGGCTCTATGGACCTGCCATAGAGAGAGCTGTGATGGACAAACTGCGCCATCTTGGTTGGGCCCACCTTCAGCTCCCACCCGGGTCCTTAAAGCTGAGCCCGGCAGATTCTCTCTCTGAGCTTGGCTGTTTTCTTGCAGACGTTTCACGGCTCAACTAAGTAACATCATCAATGTATGTAACAATCAGTGATGAATGTCACCTGGCATTGATGTTGCTCCCTAGTTGGGTCGTGAAACGTCTGCAAGAAAACCACCAAGGTCAGAGAGCACCAAGGACGCCCCCCCCCTCAGTTGAATCCTGAGTTGCACATCTTGTCTTCTACAACAGAGGGGTGCTGTATGTTTCTGGCAGGGGTTTTGGTGAACAGGTGCTCCAAATTTGTGGTGGAAGAAAAAATAAATGATCCAGAAGAGTATTTAAAAAACCACCAGTGATTAAGCATTTTAATAATCTGCCTTTACTAATTATTATGATTCTACTCTAGATTTCCCGATATGTTGCATACACTTTTTTTTTATTTCTGAGTACAGATATACAGCATTATTTTTTAACCTGCTTGAATATACAAAATGGGGAGAGGAAGGAAAAAGGGAGAAAGTTCAAACAAAGGGGAACAGGGCAGAAGGAAGGAGCAAGGAAGGTCTGTCACATAAAGACTCTTCTATTTTAGTCGCTTCCTTGTGCATTTTTTCCTTTGTTTGCCGTTGTGGTTTTTTTTTTCTTTTTTCCCCCTCCTTTTTTTTTCTTAATCCAACCTTTTAAACATATCCTTAAAACTTAACCGCATAGTATCTGTTCTGTTTTTTCTACATATTTCACAAGAAAAAAGGATTGTTGATGACCCAAGAGCATAAAACTACCAGCCGAATACTTTTTACTGCCCCTCCCCTGGCTTATACTTCTTTATAGAATAATGTTTCAGGTTTTTGGTATTTCCTCCTGATCGTATTCACATCTTTAGGTCTTCTTGGCCTTTCTGACAACATCTAAACAGATTTGGAGGTAGCAAAGCCAAAACTCAGCCAGTTAGAACAAGCCCCTGGGAGCCAGGAGGCCTAAATCACATCATGCTTCCCGTGTGAAGACCCAGCTTTCAAAAAACCAAAATTCTCTGGGGAATCCAGTAATCTGTGTTTTCAGCTGCATTTTTCTTCACTGAAATCTTTTTTTTTATGCCACTCAGAATCATACTTTTTATAGAAACTCTTTAAATAAATAAATAAATCCTTAGCTGAATTTATTTGATAAAAACTATTGATTTTCTGAAGACTATTAGTATTAGAGTACCTATAGATTAGCATATTTTTTTCCAACTCACCAGGGCCCGGCCTTTGTGGGTGATGCAGGCTGTCTGCTGGCCCCTACCTCTGCCCTGGGCTGCTCTCTGCTGGCTGGGGCACCCTGGCACACGTCTGCAGTGTGCAATGCCAGGGTGCCCAGAAGGTGGGTTGAGGGTTCCCCCTCTGGCCCCCTTTCCTCTCAAAAGCTGGGAGTGTGCCACATTAAAAATCCAACTCACCCCTACTCAGTCCTTGCCAATAACTCTTATCACGGGTCTTTCCCAGATCCCATCGGAAGACTGCTGAGACCACCTTTTCCATAGCATCAGACCCACGTCCAACGTTTGCAAAAGCAGGAGACCCAGGATAAATAACTGAAGGTAACATTGTCCGTGATCTATAACTCAGCCAGGCCACTGAGAAGGAAACTTACACCCTCTCGCTTGCAAAGACAGCCCGATCTCCCTGGACCTTCAAAATCACAGACTTTCCCTGAAGGAGGCTGGAAGACACAGCGTAGACCTCCAACAGGGGGGATCATGGTGTTGTCAGGGATTTTTGCGCATTTGATAGATATGCAAATTAGGTCAAATCATTCAAAATGCACCTTATGCTACTCAATAAGATAGCAATTGACCACACAGGATTTAAAAATCATTAGATATGACCAAAATAAATTCGGATATGTTTGTTTTTTTCTTAATTGTATGTTCTTATAGTTGTTAACCCCCTAGCGTTTGGGGATTCTAGCAGGATATAAATATGTAAAGACGCAACTAAATAATTATCCGACTTATTTCATGGGCCTCTCACAGCAACAAAGACAGCTGCCTGCCGCTAAAGCCGCTGTCCGTGGCGTCAGACCAGAGGAAGGAAGGCTGGAGCGCTTCAGATACGGAGGGGCTCCCGCTGGGCCTGCAGGGACTGCCCTGAATGCTACATGAAAACTCAACAGCCATCGTCATCATCACCACCACCACCACCACCGTCATCATCGTGATCACACAAATCGGGAGCGGCACAAAAAAGAAACTTACCCACAATAACTTCATTCTTTGCCTCCTTGCAAAATGGCTCAGTGTAAGGCGATGGACATTTACAGCGATCCCCAACAGGAACCCCGCCATTAAAACATTTGGGGGGCAGAATTTCGGTTGTAGAAGCTACACAAAAAAAGAACAAAATTAGTCAAAACAAAGAAGGTAAATGTCTAGAAATCATTTAAGAGGTTCCTAAACAAAAGATATAAAAACGGGGTGCTTGGTGCTCTTCTAACTGGGCTGCATTCTTGCGAACGTTTCATTAGCAAACTACGTAACATCATCCAGCACTCGTACGGAGTGGGGACAAAAAAACTACCACATCTAAGAAGAGATTGATGCATCAGAAAATTGCTCTCAAGTCTAAATTATATCACCTTGCATACAGTAACTAATTGTTCGTACACACAGGTTGAAAAAGGAAGAATCACAAAATCTTCTCAAACCATAGAGACCATCTGACTTGCTTGCTGATACTGTGGCCCATGTGGAATTACTAATACCCCAAAGTATAAAAAACTACATTAGCTGGTTATCTATGACAGAGAGGAACATATGCCAGGAGAAGAAAGAGTACATGGAAGGACAGGACTGGCTCTACCTTTTACTCAGGTGACCACATTAGAAGCAAAGATTTTTAATGAACACACATTGATGGGGAAGGAGTTGAACAGAGCAAAAGAAAACTAGACGCCACCAGAAGCTGAGTAGAAGTAGATAAACAGCTAAGGGGAAAACAAGTTGGAAGAAACAGCAGGGAAAGAAAAGATAGCATAGCTTCCACTAACAGGACTTGAACTACTATTCAGAGTATATATATAGATATCAAACTCTCCACCTGAACTCAGGGTCGTGGATTGCAATGTTCTCTCCTGGGATGTGGTCATTCTGGAAGAAAAGGCAGGGGATGAAGACTGCATGCTGGAGTGCCCAGTAGTAAGAGGAGGCCTCAGTGAGCCAGGGCTTGTGGAAGAAACTAGAGGGACAGCGGTTGTTGAAGACGTAATGGACGCTGTAGTTGTCTGTGTAGTTTCTGATGCAGAAGTGCTAGAGGAGCCCGATGTCACAGGAAGTGAGGTTTCCTGACTTGGCCTTGGGCTCCGACTGGAAGACACAGATATGGTTGAGGAAGAGGGCACAACCGTGCTGTGCAACCCTTCCGAGGAAGGAGCGGGAGAAGGAGATGTGACCTGTGACTGAGTGGAAGTCTGCTTGGGTGTGCTGAGACTGGACCTTGTTTGGCCAGTTGTGTGGCTGGAGCCATGAGTTTTGGCGGTGGAAAAGGTGGAGGGCAAGCTGCTCTGAAGATTTGCCGTGCTGGAAGAGAAGCTACTGTGCACGATACTTGATGTTTCCGCATTGGTACTCAGAGTTGTTGATTTCAATGTTCGCTCGTGGGAGGTGGTCATTCTGGAAGAAGGAGGAGGGGTTGAACCGTGTTTTGTGCTTGGCTGCTCAGTATTCACAGAAGGACTCAGTGAGCCAGGGCTGGTGGAAGAAACTAGAGGGAAAGCGGTTGTTGAAGACGTAATGGACGCTGTAGTTGTCTGTGTAGTTTCTGGTGCAGAAGTGCTAGAGGAGCCCGATGTCACAGGAAGTGAGGTTTCCTGACTTGGCCTAGGGCTCCGACTGGAAGACACAGATATGGTTGAGGAAGAGGGCACAACCGTGCTGTGCAAAGCTTCCGAGGAAGGAGCGGGAGAAGGAGATGTGACCTGTGACTGAGTGGAAGTCTCCTTGGGTGTGCTGAGACTGGACCTTGTTTGGCCAGTTGTGTGGCTGGAGCCATGAGTTTTGGCGGTGGAAAAGGTGGAGGGCAAGCTGCTCTGAAGATTTGCCGTACTGGAAGAAAAGCTACTGTGCACGATACTTGATGTTTCCGCATTGGTATTCAGAGTTGTTGATTGCAATGTTCGCTCGTGGGAGGTGGTCATTCTGGAAGAAGGAGGAGGGGTTGAACCGTGTTTTGTGCTTGGCTGCTCAGTATTCACAGAAGGACTCAGTGAGCCAGGGCTGCTGGAAGAAACTAGAGGGACAGCGGTTGTTGAAGACGTAATGGACGCTGTAGTTGTCTGTGAAGTTTCTGGTGCAGAAGTGCTAGAGGAGCCCGATGTCACAGGAAGTGAGGTTTCCTGACTTGGCCTAGGGCTCCGACTGGAAGACACAAATATGGTTGAGAAAGAGGGCACAACCGTGCTGTGCAACCCTTCCGAGGAAGGAGCGGGAGAAGGAGATGTGACCTGTGACTGAGTGGAAGTCTCCTTGGGTGTGCTGAGACTGGACCTTGTTTGGCCAGTTGTGTGGCTGGAGCCATGAGTTTTGGCAGTGGAAAAGGTGGAGGGCAAGCTGCTCTGAAGATTTGCCGTGCTGGAAGAAAAGCTACTGTGCACGATACTTGATGTTTCCGCATTGGTACTGAGAGTTGTTGATTGCAATGTTCGCTCGTGGGAGGTGGTCATTCTGGAAGAAGGAGGAGGGGTTGAACCGTGTTTTGTGCTTGGCTGCTCAGTATTCACAGAAGGACTCAGTGAGCCAGGGCTGGTGGAAGAAACTAGAGGGACAGCGGTTGTTGAAGATGTAATGGACGCTGTAGTTGTCTGTGTAGTTTCTGGTGCAGAAGTGCTAGAGGAGGCCGATGTCACAGGAAGTGAGGTTTCCTGACTTGGCCTAGGGCTCCGACTGGAAGACACAGATATGGTTGAGGAAGAGGGCACAACCGTGCTGTGCAATCCTTCCGAGGAAGGAGCGGGAGAAGGAGATGTGACCTGTGACTGAGTGGAAGTCTCCTTGGGTGTGCTGAGACTGGACCTTGTTTGGCCAGTTGTGTGGCT